TGCTTTCAGACGTTTTACCTCTGTTACGCAGGCCCCACATTCCCCTACCTCTTCTACTTGCGTATCCACTTTTACCAGCCTTGCTTCACTAATCTAAATGTATCGGTGTTGGAGATTAAAACTTCAGACTTTTTTTCTCATAACAAATTTGATAACCTCTAATTCTGTTCCACTAATATCTTTATGACATTAAAATTGGATGGTTTTCTCCTTTTCTTTTGGAATGAAGTGTGAGTTTTTGTTTTTGTTTTTTTCTGTAAGAGACAGGGTCTCACTAACATTGCCCTGGCTGGGCTCAAGTGATCCTCCTGTTTTAGCCTCCTAAAGTGCTGGGATTATAGGCGTGAACCACCATGTCCAGCCAAAGGCTAATATTCTCATAATCCTCTCAGCCATTCAGAAATAGGCCTGAAGGATTCTTGGGATTTTGACTTTAGAGGTGATGTGCTTGTTTAACAGCGCTGGGAAGGCAAGGTTCAACTCAGGAAACATGGGGCAGGCGCTGTGCTAGGCTTTATGGGTATAATAGTGAATAAGGCACATGAAATGTAGATATTTGCAAGGAGCTAAGTACTCTAACAGATAAGCACAGAGATTGCAGAGACCTTTAACTGGGTGTTCTCTCAGCTAAGAGTTAAGGGGTCAGGAAAAACTTTTCTAGAGGAATGTAGCAGGTCCACGTTAAGAATGCTGTGCAGTCCGAGGTGGGTGTTTGTAAACCTTTGCTCAGTACAGTTTCTAGCTCTTTGTGGCTGAGTGATCACTGGCCATTTGTAGGCTAGGAAATCACTTCTTCCACTTTAATAGACGTTGGAATCACCTGAAAGGCCTGCAAAATACAGCTGCTGGTCCTGCTCCTCATGGTTTCCCATTCATTATGTCTTGGATGGGGCCCAGGAATATCTACATCTAGCAAGTTTCCAAGTCAAGCGGATGCTGCTCATCTGGGAACTACACATAGAAAACCACTGGGCTAGAAATACTAGAACTAACCATTCTCTTTGGGAAGAGGAGAGAGGAATGAGAAGGACCAGGATGTTATGCCCAATTTTTTTTTTAATTCAAGAGACAACTTCCTCAAAGCATGGAAGATTTGTACTTTGTCCAAAGTTGTTTAGATGAACATAACATCAAATTTATCATTTTTATAGTGATTCTTTTGATACTTAAAATCATAAAGTCAGGTTTTATCTGTTATTAATTTGGTACTCTGGTTAATAGTTATAGTTACTTTTAATTCTTTACCTTTTAAGGAGTTGGAAGAAGTAATCTTTTCTATTTCATGATTTTTTTTTATTTTTAAAGTTAATACTAACTAGAGAGAAATTTTTAGAATTTTTAAAAATTTTGTTTTGAGAAACAGGGCCATGCTGTGTTACCCAGGCTGGTGTGCAGTGCTCACAGAAACAACCTGAAACTCCTGGGTTCAGGTGATCTTTCTGCCTTAGCCTTCTGAGTAGCTGAGTCAGACTATAGGTGTGCACCATTGCACCCAGCCTAAAATGGTTTTTGAAATTTAACGCTAAGGCTGTTGCTGCTATATTATTTTGATATTTTACATGACTTTTGGGAGTCTGCTTTAAAATACTTTATAAGTTGTATAAAAATAAATTTTGGTATTTGGTCTCATCTTTGGAAAAACTATTTATTTGAAGGATATGGTAAGAAATTTAACAAGGATTTTGGCTGACCTTAGGGACATATTAACTCATAACATTTTGCAGTAGTCTGGTCTGTCATGTTCTCTAAACATTGAACATAGTTATGTAGAATGCCACAGACTTAGAACAACTAAAGAGAATTGTTAGGAAAAATAGATCAGAAGAAAAATCACCTTTGAGGAGAGAAAGTCAATGTTATGAATGAGAGAATTTATACTTAAGGAATAAAAAGTTCACCTTTTTTTTTTAATGCTTGATGTTTACTACATACATGAATCTATCTTAGTGAGGGATTATAATACAAATATTTCTAAGATGTTTATGTCTGGCTCAAGTAAGAATCTCATTAAAATAACCTTTTCCTTGCATTTTTTTTGTTCCCTCAAGAGTCATATCTAGTTGTGTACTATATTCAAAGTTCTACCTTGCCCTAATTCACTACCGAATTTAACTAGAGGTGGCAAAAAACAGAATGTTTTATTTCTCTTACTTTACTTGGATTGTCTATAATTGAACATAATTACTTGTTATTTTAACTTCTTATTAAATATTCCAAGCAATTCTTTTGAGAAAACTCACCTAAACTTTGAATAAATCACCAAATTTTTTTAATTAAAAAAGCACCCAAATACCTAAGGAATTTGAAATGTAAATGGAAATGTGTTCCTTATTATCTTTAAAGTGCTTCTTTATGCTGAATAAATTAGAGGGGTCAGACATTTGTGCTTTTCTCATCCCTCTGTTTTTTTTTTAGCTGCAAATATGATTTATAAAATATATTAAAATGAATTATTTATTATTTTTAAGTTTTTTATAGAGATGCAGCTTCTCTGTGTTGCCCAGGCTGGTCTCGACCCTCTAGGCTCAAGCAATCCTCTTGCCTCAGCCTCCCAATGTTCTGGGATTACCTGTGTGAGCCACCATGCCCAGCCTAAATGCATTCATAGTAAAACAAAGATGAGAGCGGCCTGTTTAGAGCTTTCCTGTTTGTACCATTTTTACCACTGAAAATCCTGCAGCCCAGGAGACCCCTTCCTGTGGCATAGAAAAAATCATGGCAGCTATGATTTGCAGTTTACAATAGTGGATCATCCACTAATGCAATGCAAGTGTGATGTAATTGTGAGCAGTAACAGTCTATCATTGACTTTGCCCATTGCATTAACTGCTGTGATTTGTATTGACATAGTGTTAGTTTAACTTTCCACACTGTGAATACTGTGACTGCAGTTTCCAAGAGTTCAGATAATGAAAATAAGAACAGTTATGATATCAACACCAGAGTGTCCCAGACATTACTTACAAGGAAAGTTATTGTATATGGAAATCTATCTGTTGTTTTATATATATTAGTATATAATGATATGTGATAGACAGATGGAAAGACAGAAAATTAAATTAGGGAGATAGATAAGCAAAACAGAACATACTGCACAACAGACAGGAAAGAATTTGGGATTGGGCATTGTTACGGGTTGAATTGTGTCCCCTCCAAAATCATAGGTTGAAGTCCTAACTTCTGATACCTTAGAATGTAACCTCAGTTGGAAATAGGGTCATTGTAGATGTAGTCAGTTAAGATGAGTTTGTATTAAAATGTGGTGAGCCGCTAATCCACGTTGACTGGTCTTACGAAAAGGGGAAATTTGGACACAGACATGCACATAGGGATAATGCCACATGGAGATTGGAGTTAGGCTGCCACAAGCCAAGGAACTGCAGGAGGCTGGCAGAGAGTCCTGGAACAGATTCTTACCTAGTGCCTGCAGAGAGCGCATGACCCTGTCAACCACTTGATCTTGGACTTCTAGCCTCCATAACTGTGGGACAATACATTTCTTTGTTTAAGCCACCCAGTTTTTGGTACTTTGTTATGACAGCCCTAGCAAACTAATATAGGCTTGGTGGAAGAGATGTGTGAGCACCTAAGGAGACTGTGTCTCACAAGTCTAGAATAAGACAGGCAAGCACATCTAAATTGATCTGCACTCCTTCCATCTTGTTTAAATAAAAGCATGTATTATAACAGAAAACTAGTATAGAATAATAATTTCAAATAAATACCTATTCTTCATATTTCTGTGTTAAAGTAATAAAACCTGTGCACAGTTCTTTCTCATACATTGTTATGTCTCTGGACTGGTATGGGCTATGCCCCGGTTGACTCTGAAAAGTTGGTCACCCCCTGTGCATACAGTACTCCTCCCACCTGCTGTCTCTGTCTTTGGCCATCCCTCCTTCCTTCTGCCTCATCACACATTCCAGTACTGCTAAGGATAATGAATTTGTGATTATAAAAAGTTTTAGATTAACCTTGTTAAAGGTAGTTCTTAGAATCTAGCTTAGAATTTTGATTCCCTAAAATAATTTTCATGGATAAATATTAAAAATCATCAATTAAAAAGTTCACCTGTTTTAAAAAAAAAATGTTTCATATTCTTCTCATTTGGAAGGCAGCATGACATAGCCAGTAGAAAAATAGTTGCCAAACTTTCATGTATATCTAATGTATTGGGATGGGGAGGACTATTTTCTTTGGCATGTAATCATAATTCTGATTTAATTGCGAGTGCTAGAGTGACTCCATTTACTTAGTAGCAAATTTTTAAGTATATTAAGTAAAATTTTTAGAGTGTATACTTTTGGTTTTCTTTCCCTTGTTTACTAACTGTGCTAAACTTTTCATATTATTAAATTGGTGGGATGTATTGGGTATTATGCTTCAATTTAGAAAGATCCCAAAGATCCTAAATTTAGCTCTAGGATGTTCTGATTGGCAAATATATTTTTCAGAACAAACATGGTGGCATATGTTGTCATAGCGGGCAAATTTGCCTCTGCCCACAGGCTTATGTATTGTTATTTAGCTTAAGTGCTTTTTTGAGATTTTTAAGGTGCTTCCACTTAGTAATGGATATAAAAGTGAGTTCTTATCAGGTATTGAATTGTTTTAAAACTCCTCACCTTCTGAAATTCACAGTACTTTGTGATCATTCTTTTCTACAGTAATTTGAAAATGCTATCACTAGTGGTTATTTACAGAGTTAACTTGTTTAACATGAAACAACTGCTTGAAGCCTATTTTTACAAATGGACACTATATACATAAGTGAACGGAAGTGTATAATTTACTGTTTTTTAAAAATACTGTAGAATTCTAAGGGTCTTTCTGTATTCTCATGAAGAAAATCAGTTTGACAGTAAAAGGTAGAAAACTTCTTGATCTGTTTTGGTATTGATTGTTATATAATGCTGAGAAGCTATTGGATATTTCTGTGGTATTTGGGAATTTTGTTTAAAACGTTGCCCTTGACACTGTGTTTTATGTTTATCATCCAGAAAGATGGAGTGCTGGCATACGTTGGGAATTTTCGCCTGCTTGCAGAGCTTTCCAGCCCTTTTGTGAATCAGCGGTATGATATTGATATTAATTGATTATCTTAAAAGTCATGCTGTTTATTTTTAGTTTGGGCAGATCCTTTTCTGTGATCCTAAATTTACTATATAAAAGATGTGGAGGCTGGGCGCAGTGGCTCACGCCTGTAATCCTAACACTTTGGGAGACTGAGGCAGGCGGATTGCCTTGTGCTCAGGAGTTCTAGACCAGCCTGGGCAACACGGTGAAACCCTGTCTCTACTAAAATACAAAATAAGTTTGACGGATGTGGCAGCATGCACCTGTAGTCCCAGCTACTTGGGAGGCTGAGGCAGGAGAATACTTGAACCTGGGAGGCGGAGGTTGCAGTGAGCCGAGATTGCGCCACTGCACTCCAGCCTGGGTGACAGAGTGGGACTCGGTCTCTTAAAAAAAAAAAGATGCGATCTGTGAATCTGTGATATGAATTGTTATCACCATCATACAAATGATGAAAGTGAGCCTTGGAAAAGTTAGAGTAACTTACCCAAGTTTCCCTAGCTAGGAAGTGGTGGTGCTACCTTTTAAACCCTGCTCTTTGCAGGACAGTGATGCTTTATGATGCCTGCTTCCAGTGCATTCTTTCACCCTCCATGTTGTACACTTCAAGATGAATGGTACACACTGAATCTTAGAATTTTGTTTATGGAAAAGGATAAATATCACTCTGGCTCATTTTGGGTCCAGTTCATATCCCTAACACTAACTTCCTCCTGTCCCCAAATTCTTATACTGAGATTACCTTAGTGCCTCATTGAAAAACATAATATTTTTATTTTTTAAATGTAAAAGGGTACTTTTGGCTGGGCTCAGGGGCTTACATCTCTAAATCCCAGCACTTTGGGAGGTTGAGGCAGGAGGATTGCTTGAGGCCAGGAGTTTGAGACTAGCTTGGGTAACATTGTGAGATACCATCCCTACAAAAAAAAAGAAAGAAAGAAAGAAAGAAAATTAGCTGGGTGTGATGGTGCATGCCTGTAGTCCTAGCTGTTTGGGAGGCTAAGGCGGAAGGATTGCATGAGTCCAAGAGAGTGAGTGGTTAGTCCAGGAGTTTGAGCTGAGATCCTGCTTGGGCAAAACAGAGAAACCCTATCTGTAAAAAATTATTTTTTAAAAAGACTAGTTTTAATTTAAATATACAACAATGTAAATAACTAACAATTTGTAATATTGATAGCCATCGTTAGGGAATTATTATTATTTTTGAGATGGAGTCTCACTCTGTTGCCCAGGCTGGAGTGCAGTGGCACAATCTTAGCTCACTGCAACCTCCACTTCCCAGGTTCAAGTGATTTTCCTTCCTCAGTGTCTCAAGTATCTGGGATTACAGGTGCCCGTCACCACACCTGGCTAATATTTGTATTTTTAGTAGAAACGGGTTTTCGCCATGTTGGCCAGGCTGGTCTTGAATTCCTGAGCTCAGGTGATCTGCCCATCTTGGCCTTCCAAAGTACTGGGATTACAGGCATGAGGCACCGCAGCTGGCCCATCTCAACCATTTTTAAGAATATAGTGCAGTTGTGTTAAGTATATTCACATTGTTGTGCAACAGATCTTTAGAACTTTTTCATTTCACAAAATTGAAACTCTACCCCCATTAAATACTAAATCCCTCTCCTGCAAGCCCTAGACAACCACCTTTGCACTTTCTGTTTCTATGATTTTGATTAAATAATTCACATGAATGGAATCATACAGTGTTTATCCTTTTGTGCCTGGCTTATTTTGCTTACTCTAATATCCTTGAAGTTCATCATGTTGTAGCATGTGACAGGATTTTCTTCATTTTAAAGGCTGTTGTATGCATAACACATTTTCCTTATTCATCCATCCATGGACATTGAGATTACTTGCACCCGTTGGCTGTTGTGAATAATGCTGGAATGGACATGGACATACAAATAATTTTTGAGACCCTGCTTTGAATTCTTTTGGATATATTTCTAGAAGTGCGACTTCTGGATCATATGATGGCCCTCTTAATTTTTTGATGAGGCTTCATACTGTTTTCCATAATGTGTATATCTTTTTACATTCCCACCAACAGTGCACAAGGGTTCTGATTTCTTCACATCCTCATCAGCACTTGCTGTTTTCTGTTATTCTGATAGTAGCCATTCTAATGGGTGGAGGTGATAGCTCATGTGGTTTTTTTCTTTTCTTTTCTGTTTTTTTTTTTTTTTTTTGGAGACAGGGTCTCTGGTTCCCAGGCTGGAGTGTAGTGGCATGATCTTGGCTCACTGTAGCCTCAACCTCTCAGGCTGAAAGGATCCTCCCACCTCAGCCTTCTAAGTAGCTGGGACTACAGGCCAGCTACTTAGAAAATTAGCCACCACACCTGGCTAATTTTTGTATTTTTTGTAGAGATAAGAGTTTCGCTATGTTGCCCAGGCTGGTCTCAACTCCTGGGCTCAAGTAGTCCTCCCACTTTGGCCTCCCAAAATGCTGGGATTACAGGTTTGAGCCACTGTGCCCAGCTGGTCATGTGGTTTTGATTTACATTTTACTTTGATTCGTGATGTGGAGCATCTTTTCATGTATTTGTTGGCTATTTGTATATCTTTGAAGAATTGCCTGTTCAAGTTCTTTGCCCGTTTTTTCCTTTTTTTTTTTTTTTNTTTGTATATCTTTGAAGAATTGCCTGTTCAAGTTCTTTGCCCGTTTTTTCCTTTTTTTTTTTTTTTAAATGCAGTTTTGCTTTGTTGTCCAGTCTGGAGTGCAGTGGCGCAATCTCGGCTCACTGCAACCTTCACCTCCTGGGTTCCAGTGATTCTTGTACCTCAGCCTCCTGAAAAGCTGGGATTACAGGCGTATACCACCATGCCAAGCTAATTTTGTATTTTTAGCAGAGATGGGGTTTTGCCATGTTGGCCAGGCTGGTCTTCAACTCCTGACCTCAAGTGATCCTCCCACCTTGACCTCCCAAAGTGCTGGGATTACAGGCATGAGTCACTGCACCTGGCCCTTTGCTCATTTTTAAATTGCGTTATTTGTTTTGTTGTATTAGTTCCTTCTATATTCTGAATATTAATCCTTTATCAAATATATGAAAAAAAGCATAGGTTGCTTTTCCACTCTGCTGATTGTTTCCTTTGACGTGAAGAAGTTTTAAAGTTTATGAAGTCCCATTTATCTGGTTTTGTTTTTGTTGCCTGTGCTTTTGGTATCGTATCCAAAAGATCATTGCTAAGTCTAATGTCCTGAAGCCTTCCCCCTATATTTCTTTCTAGGAGTTTCATAGTTTGGTCTTATGTGTATGTCTTTAATTTATTTTGAATTAATTTTTGTATATGGTATAGGGTCCAGCTTCATTCTTAGAATGTGGCTGTCTAGTTTTTCCAGCACATTTGTTGAAGAGACTATGTTTTCCCCATTGTATAGTCTTGGTACTCTTGTTAAGTCATTTGGCCGTACGTGCCAGGGTTTGATTTCTACAACAGCTTTCTAACTGACTTCCCTAATTCCAGTCCTCTGAGTCCTTTCCTCACAGTGTTACCAGAATCATCTTTCTTACATTCCACTTTCAGTACCTTATTTTTCACTAAAAACTGCATCCTGTTTATACACATCTCTCTCTGACTTCTGAAGTTTCCTGTGATGTGCTCCATATGTCTTCAGCCTCTTTTTTTAAACCATTCATTAGAATCAGTTTTGTATTCTTACTGTCTTAAGTTCCTTTGGGTTTTTCTCATATTTCTTCCTTAATTTATATCCTCCATTTTCTCTCCATCTTTGAAAAATTTATGTATCCTTCAAGTCTTAGTCAAAATCTAAAACCCAGGGAAGGCTTCTATGATTATATGTTGTCCTTTGTTACTTAGTATAGGGATAACAGAAAATTGGGAGTATTTCACATCAGAGAGACACATGAGTTAGAGTGCTTACCGTGAATCAAGCCTCATGAAAAATTTCAAAGATACTGGCCATTGGAGGCACAGGCAAAGCAGGAAGAAATACATTCAGGGCCACTGATGGGATCGCTAGGTCTGTGTGCATAGGGTACATTCTGGAACAAGATTACTTGTGAGGTCTCTTTAAAAATTATTTTTTATTAAAATTTTTGTTGAACCACTAGACCACCTGGGAACCTGTGAGGTCTCTAAGTGATGTGTGCAGTTCATATCATTGACATAGAACGAGCTCTCTTGGTGACAAAACACCTCCACTTAATCTTGAGTTACATAGCTTATGTGGCATTCTTGAGGGGGTCAGATCTCATAAATCCATCCATTCCTGAGTCATTTACCATAAGCAATCCTAGACTAAGTATGTTCTTCTAAAAGCATCCCATAGATGAAGACTCTCGTGCTACAAACTTTATTAGTCTCTTTATCAAGAGGTCTGGCATTAGTGTGTGTACCAGGTGATTAGCCTGGATTAGCTGTCTTTTCTTCTTCTTTTTTTTTTTTTTTCGTTTTTTGGAGATGGAGTCTCCCTTTGTTGCCCAGGCTGGAGTGCAGTAGTGTTATCTCAGCTCACTGCAACCTCCGCCTCCCAGCTTCAAGCAATTCTCCTGCCTCAGCCTCCTGAGTAGCTGGGATTACAGTTGTCCACCAGTACACCCAGCTAATTTTTGTATTTTTAGTAGAGATGGCATTTTACCATGTTGGCCAGGCTGGTCTTGGACTCCTGATCTCAGGTGATCCACCCGCCTTGGCCTCCCAAAGTGCTGGGATTACAGGCCTGACCCACTGTGCCTGGCCCTTTTTTCTTTTTCTTTTTTTGAGACAGTCTCGCTGATCTTCTCCCTGCTTCTCTCTGGGTGAGTTCTTCCCTCCCAAGGTTTCAGCTCTTAACTATTTACTCATCTTGGTGGAAGGCACTATGCCTTAGTTTTGGAATCAGATAAACTCAAGTAGCAATTCAACTTTGCACTTACTTCCTGTGACCCTGGACAAGTTACTTAATATCCCTGTATTACAGTCATTGTCTCTATAAAAACAACCTATTTAATACTACCTACTTCTTTGTATTGTAGTCAAGTGTTTTCTTCTCTCA